CTGCACGAGGAGCTGCGGCTGCTGCTGGACACGGCGCTGCCCCCCAAGAGGAAGAAGGTGGTGCTGGGCGTGGGCGATGCCAAGATGGGCGCGGCCGTGCTGGAGGAGCTGGGGGTGCAGTGCCAGACCGGGGGCGTCGTGGCCGAGCTGATGCGCGGTGAGTGGGGACACGGGGGACAGAGGGGACATCTCGCTGGGCTCCCGGTTCAGCCGGGAGGATTGAGGAGCGGGCTGGACCCGGTGCCGTGGCTGGGGGGTGTCCCTGGGGCTGCCCGTGGTGGTGGCACTGTTGTCACCCCGGGGTGACGCCGGCTGCTGGCACCGTTGTCACCCCGGGGTGACGCCGCGTCCCCGCAGGGATCCGGCTGCACTTCCCGGCGCTGGTGCGAGGCCTCACGGCTCAGTCGGCGGCCAAGGCCCAGCTGGGGCTCGGCCACAGCTACTCCCGGGCCAAGGTGAAGTTCAACGTGCACCGCGTGGACAACATGATCATCCAGTCCATCAGCCTGCTGGACCAGCTGGACAAGGACATCAACACCTTCTCCATGCGCGTCCGGTCGGTGGGGACGGGTTTCGGGGTTTGAACGGGTTTGGGGGTCCCCGCTGCCTCCCCACGCTTACCGCAGGCAGCTGCCTCTGCTCCGGCCGCCTGTACAGACCGGGGAGGGACAGCAGCTCCCCAGGGGCCGCTGGCCGGGCCCCAGGGCCACGCCGTGGAGCCGGGGGGACATTTGGGAGCCCGGTGGGGTGGCCCGGGGACACGCGGAGCTGGGGTGGGGCCCGGGCAGCCGCAGTGAGGGCGCGCTGTCCCTGCAGGGAGTGGTACGGGTACCACTTCCCCGAGCTGATCAAGATCGTCCCCGAGAACTCCATGTACTGCCGGGTGGCCAAATTCATCGGGAACCGGCGGGAGCTGAGCGAGGAGAGCCTGGAAGGGCTGGAGGAGATCGTCATGGACAGCGCCAAGGCCCAGGCCATCCTGGAGGCCTCCCGCTCCTCCATGGGTGAGAGGGGCTCCGAGGGGCTCACGGGGGGCCCGGCCGCGGGGTCGCTGCTGCCGCTCACCCCGTGCCACCCCCAGGGATGGACATCTCCCCCCTGGACCTCATCAACATCGAGAGCTTCTCGCGCCGCGTCATCTCCCTGTCCGAGTACCGCAAGGAGCTGCAGGAGTACCTGCGCTCCAAGATGAGCCAGGTGGCCCCCAGCCTGTCAGCCCTCATCGGGGAGGTGGTGAGTGTCCCCAGAGCGTCCCCAGAGTGTCCCCTGAGCGTCCCCTGCCCCCCGCCCGGCCGCGGAGATGATGTCAGAGTGAATCTGTCAATCCACTGAGCCGTGCTGCTGATGCTTCCACTGCTGATCCGCGGCCTGTGGGGGCTCTCTGTGCCCTCGGGGGGCTTTGGGGCCACCTGTAACCCCCCTGTGCCATCCCCCAGGTGGGCGCCCGCCTCATCTCGCACGCTGGCAGCTTGACCAACCTGGCCAAGTACCCGGCGTCGACGGTGCAGATCCTGGGTGCCGAGAAGGCCCTGTTCAGGTACCCGCCGGGGTGGGGAGGGGCTGGCCGCGGGTGGGGGCGGATTTCGGGGGTCCTGACCCTGCCCTGGGCACCCGCAGGGCGCTGAAGACGCGGGGGAACACCCCCAAGTACGGCCTCATCTTCCACTCCACCTTCATCGGGCGCGCGGCCGCCAAGAACAAGGGGCGCATCTCGCGCTACCTGGCCAACAAGTGCACCATCGCCTCGCGCATCGACTGCTTCTCAGGTGGGCCTGGGGGGCTTCGGGGGGCTCCGGGGGCACGGGCGGGGCGGGCGCTGCCGCTCGGTGCCCGGGTGGGCGCGGGGAGGGCGCTCGGGGCCGCTCTGCCGTGATGGGAACGTTTTTCGTCAGCAGCATCTCACCGCAGTGAATGGTGACTCCTGTGGGCTGAGCAGAGCGGGGGGGGACTCGGGGGGGTTTGGGGGTGCAGGGTGGGTGCTGAGCCCACCCCCCCCGGCCTCTCCCCGCAGAGGTGCCCACCAGTGTCTTTGGGGACAAGCTGCGGGAGCAGGTGGAGGAGCGCTTGGCCTTCTACGAGACCGGGGAGCCGCCCCGCAAGAACCTGGAGGTGATGAAGGAGGCCGTGGTGGAGGTGAGGAGGAAGAGGAGGAGGGGGTGGTGGGGGATGAAGAGGGGTGAGGGTGACAGATGCAGGCAGTGGGGGAGATGGAGGAGGAGGTGAGGTCCCAGGGGGAGATGAAGATGGTGGTGAGGTCCAGGAAGGGTGAAGAAGGTGATGGAGGTGAGAACTGAGATGAGAACGATGGAAGTGTTGGGGTGATGAAGATGATGGAGGTGAGGTCCTGGGGGAGATGAAGGTGGCAGTAATGAGGTACCAGGGGCTGGAGATTGTGAATGGAAAGTGCTGGGGGCAGTGGAGGTGCTGGGATGATGGTGGAGGAGGTGATGAAGGTGATGGTGATATCCTGTAGTGATGGTGAGATCCTGGGGTGAAGGTGATGCTGGGGGGATGAAGGTGATGAAGATGATGCTGGGTGATGAAGATGATGCTGGGGTGAAGAAGGTGATGCTGGGGGGATGAAGGTGATGGTGAGATACTGGGTGATGAAGATGATGCTGGGGGGATGAAGGTTATGTTGGGGTGATGAAGATGATGCTGGGGGATGAAGGTTATGCTGGGGTGAAGAAGGTGATGCTGGGGGATGAAGGTGACGCTGAGGGCCCGTGTCGGAGGTGATGTCACTGTGCCATCCTGACCTGCTGTGGAGGCCAAAGACTGATTTAATGAGTCTGATCCGACCAGGGCCGGGCGTGGGGACAAACCCCAGGACCCTGCCCTGCCTCACGTCCCCCCTGTGTGTCCTCAGGCCAACGAGGTGGTGGCTGAGGTGAAGAGGAGGCAGGAGAAGAAGGAGAAGAAGAGGAAGAAGAGGGAGAAGCGGCGGCTGGAGGCCCTGGCGGCGGCCGCCGAGGAGCCGGCGGAGAACTCGGTGATGGAGATGGAGGTGAGGGGGATGGGGTGGGACCCTTTTGGGGATTGAGACCCTTTTGGGGGGTGTGAGGGGTCTCTGTGCCCCAGGAGGGGAGGGAGGATGAGGCCAGAACTGACGTGGGGCTCCCCACAGGAGAACGACGTGGGGGCCAAGAAGAAGAAGAAAAAGAAGAAGCAGCAGCAGCCAGAGGAGTCTGAGGCAGAGGCAGAGCCCGAGGAGAACGGGGTGGAGGAGGAGGAGGAGGAGGAGCCGTTGCCCAAGAAGAAAAGGAAAGTCACGGTAGAGGCTGAGGAGGAAGAGGAGGAGGAGGAGAAGAAGAAGAAAAAGAAGAAGAAGAAGAAGGCAGCGGCTCAGGACTCCGAGGAGGATTAGGGAGCAGAGAGAGCAGTGCATGGACTGACAGACTGACGGACAGGCAGGAGCCCGGAGCGGCTGCCCGCCCGCTCCCGTGGTGTCCCCAGAGGCACGGTGGCCACTGGGAAGGTGGCAGAGCCCCTCGTGGTGGCCTGGGTGAGTCCCTCTGGCCACCAGCAGCCCTTGGACTGGTGCCTTACACCGTGGAACTTTGAATGCCACGGGACCTCGGGCTGTGTGGGGCTGTCCCTGGGCTGTGTCCCTTTCCTTGGGGCTGTCCCTGGGCCGTGTCCCTTTCCTTGGGGCTGTCCCCAGCCCGTGTCCCCTGTCCCCAGCCCATGTCCCCAGCCCGTGCAGTGCGGGGCCGGCCCCTCGTGGTGCCCACACCCCAATAAAGGGCTGAGGTCGTTGTGAGCCCTCCTTGTCCTGCTCCGTGGCAGGGGGTGCCCAGGCTGTCCCCACGGGGGTCACCCTGGCACCAGCGGCCTGCCCGGGCCCGGGGACACTGACGGCAGCACGGTCACACCTGAGGCCACTTTATTGGAGTCACCGGGGGCGGGCTGAGGTCACTGCACCTCCAGGGCATCTATCACGGCCTGGGTGAAATCCATGGAGGTGGAGTAGCCCCCCATGTCCGCCGTGCGCACCTGCAAGGAGACGGGAGGTTAGGGGGGGACCGGGAGGGGACCTGCGGGTTCGGGGTCCCCTCGGCTGTGCCACTGCGGGGTCGGGCTCCCCGGAGCCCTCCGCACCCCCAAAACCTTCCCTGTGCCTCGGGGGGATGTGTGCAGGGGCTGGTGAGCCCTCTGACCCACACCTGAGTCTGGTTCCAGCACTGTCCCCCCCAGCTCAGCAGCCCCAGCACCCCAAAAGCTGCCCCAGTCCCCCCAGGAAGCGCTGGACCCTTTATTAGCGAAGCAGAATACAGAGCAGGACGCGGCGGCGCGGCACCAGCCCCGGCCCCACGGCGCTCGTGGGGTGGGCTCGGAGCCCTGCAGCCCCCCGATTCCCACGGATTGGGGGGCACGGGGTGCAGCTCCCCACCCTGCCCCGGGTCCGGAGTGTTCCAAGGGCACCCCACGCCTGGAGCTGTCCCCGCGTGGGGACCCTGTGCCAGAGCTGCCACGGGAGGGGAGGGTGGGGGTGTCACCCTGCCTATTGCTGGGAGCTGGATGGGATGGATCCCACGGGAATGGGGTCACGGGGATCCCACGGGAATGGGGGTCCCACAGTTGTGGTGGTGGTGGTCCCATGAGAATTCCACAATTCCATTGGTCCAGCAGTCACAACGACCCCGCAGGAATGGGGGGCCCACAGTCAAAGAGATCCCATAGGAATGGGGGCCTGTGATCACAGGGATCCCATGGGAATGGGGTCCCACATTCTAAGAATCCCACGGGAATGAGGATCCCACAAATCCCATTGGTCCAACAGTCACAAAAACCCCATAGGAATGGGGGGGGTCTCACAAGGATCTCATGGGAATGGGATCCCACAGGCAAAGGGATCCCGTGGGAATGGGGTCCCAAGGGATCCTATAGGAATGGGGGTCCCACATTTGTAAGGATCCCATAGGAATGGGGGTCTCACAAGGATCCCATGGGATGGGGGTCCCAGATTTGTAAGGATCCCATGGGAATGGGGGTCCCAGAGCCGTGCTGGGTGGTCCCGGTGTCCCCAGGAGCTGCCTGTGAGTTTGGGGTGCTGCCCCATTTCCCCCATTCCCCCCAGACACCCCCAAACCCGCACTGGCCGCCTCCTGGGGGTGTGGGGGGAGGCGAAGGGATCCTGGGGGGGTGTGGGGAGGGGGCTGCGGCGCTGGGGGGTGCCGGGGGTCCTAAGCCCCATAGTTGGGGTGCAGGTTGTCAATGACGGACTTGACGAAGTCGGAAGTGGTGGAGTAACCGCCCAGGTCCCGGGTCCGGACCTGCAGATCCAACACAGGAGGGGAGAAACGGGGAAAGGCCGGAGGTGAACGCAGGAACGGCTGCCAGGGGGACAGGACAGCACAGAGAGAGACTGCAGGACCCTCCACGGCCCTGCCAGGACCTGCACAGGGGCTGAGGGACATCCCTCCAGGACCTGCGGTAGGAATGGGGCTGTGGGAGGTCCCTGAGAGCCCTGCCAGGACCTGCACAGAGGCTGTGGATCATCCCTCCAGGACCTGGGGTGTGGATGGGGACATGGACAGGTCCCTGAGAGCCCTGCCAGGACCTGCACAGGGGCTGAGGGACATCCTTGATAGCCCTGCCAGGACCTGGGGTGGGAATGGGGACATGGACAGGTCCCTGAGAGCCCTGCCAGGACCTGCACAGGGGCTGAGGGACATCCCTGAGCCTGCCAGGACCTGCACAGGGGGTGAGGGACATCCCTCCAGGACCTGCGGTAGGAATGGGGCTGTGGAAGGTCCCTGAGAGCCCTGCCAGGACCTGGGGTGGGGATGGGGCTGTGGAACATCCCTGAGAGCCCTGCCAGGACCTGCACAGAGGCTGTGGATCATCCCTCCAGGACCTGGGGGTAGGAATGGGGCTGTGGAACATCTCAGAGCCCTGCTAGGACCTGGGGTGGGAATGGGGACATGGACAGGTCCCTGAGAGCCCTGCCAGGAACCCAAATGGGGACAAGGCCATGGAGGATCCCCCCAGCCCTGCCAGAAGTCCCTCCCCTGCCAGGACATGACCACAGGGGCTGGACACAGCTGTGGGACTGGGAGTGTAGCTGGAGAGAGGAGAGGAACCAGGAATCCCCGCTGGAGAGAGGAGAGGAGCCAGAATTCCAGCTGGAGAGAGGAGAGAAACCAGAATTCCAGCTGGGAAGAAGAGAGGAGTCAAAATTTGAGCTGGACAGAGGAGAGGAACCAGAATTCCAGCTGGGAAGAGCGGAGGAACCAGCTGGGAAGAGGAGAGCAGCCAGAGAACGTGACCCAGGCACCACCAGCCCCACCCAGCGTCCCACACTCACTTTTCCACCTTTGATCACCTTCTTCACCGCGTCCGAGATCATGTTGGAGTGGTATTCCAGGCTGGAAAAGGGGGGGAAGCAGGGGGTCAGCCCCTGGGGAGCCCCCCCAGCCCCCCTCTGGAGCCCGGCACGTACTTGAGGTGCCGCAGCATGTTGGAGGCCGAGAGCAGCATGGCCGTGGGGTTGGCGATGTTCCTGCCCACGGCCTGGGCGAAGGGGTGCCGGGCACCCTGTGGGACACGGGGACAGCGTCAGGGCACGCTGCCAGCCTGGGGGATCCCCTGGAATGCCCCCGGAATGCCCCTGGCACGGCGGGCTCACCAGCTCGAAGACGGCGTACTCGGCGCTGTAGCTCTCGCCGGGCACGACGCCGGCGCCGCCCACCAGCCCCGCGGCCAGGTTGTCCACGATGTTGCCGTAGAGGTTGGGCATCACCAGGACGTCGAACTGGTAGGGATTCTGCACCAGCTGGCACGGGAATGGCAGTGGGAATGGGGCCTGGGACAGCTGTGGGGAAGCTCAGCCCCACCCTGGCACTGGGAGCCCAGCCCGGGCGCGGTGGGGCCGGGGGAGCTCCGAGTGTCTCCAGCTTGAACCATCCCATGCTTGGCACAGCTGCCTGCAGCAGCAGCCGTGGGATTGGGGAGTTTTTAGGGATACAAAGAGGAATTTTTAGGGATAGGAACACGCCCAGCCCCAGTGAGGCTGCGGGAACCCTCAGAATTCCCCCCAGGAGCAGCACTGGGATGGCCCCGGAGGCACAGGTCAGGTGAGACAGAGCTGGGAATGTTTGTTGGGAATGTTGGGAATGCTGCGAGAGCTCCTGCCCGGCACTGGGACAATCCTGAGGCCAGGTGGGCTCGGTGTGGCCAGGCTTGGAGGTTCCAGCAGCTCAGGGTGGGACAGGGACACGGGATGGGGCGTGGCTCACCTGCATGCAGCAGTTGTCGATGATCATGGTGTCGAATTTGATCTTGGGGTACAGCTCGGCCACCTCCTTACAG